ATATTTTTTCTGTCTTCATTCTCCTCCTTTTTTAAGCCTTCTTAGGCGTTCCTATCACGTATTTGTCACTGGTGGTGGGACGTGCTTCTATTTCTAGATTTCCCAAAAGGTCTCTGTTCTGTTTGTTGCAGTGTTCATTCCCTGTCAGCCCGAGCCTCAGAAGCACACAGCACTATCCGCTAACACAGTCTCAGAGTTCCAGCATAGGGGGAAGTTTCTGCTCCCTTTGAACTGGAAGATTGACTTTTAACTGTTCTTGTTTGCAGTCCAGGTCACTCCCCCATCGTAGAGATTTGAATTCTGTTACTGCTCCAGACTGCAAGTCTCTGTTTAGAGCACTGATGCTAACTGACACTTTGCTAGGCCCCACGTTAAAAATGTTACTGACCAATCGTATCTTAGCAACTATTCCTATCCATTATATTATCAGACAAGCTTTTGCTAAAGATCTAAGGATCTGCACGTTCGGATAGTTTAAAGCTTAAACAGACTTTTCCTGAAATGATCTACAAATATTGTCATTGCCGGGGCATGTATAAAACTTACACAAGGAACTGAGTTCTGTGTAAGCCTAATTATGAAATAAACATGTATAGCATGAGCCTCAGTAAGAACAAATATATTTGCTTAAATTTTAATTCACGTTAATAACTTTGTATCATGATTGATCATTGTAGTAGGTACTCAAGCCCATCCCTACCTTCTAGACTGCAAAGGGCAAAGGGTTGATATATCTTACTTTAAAGTCCTATTAGTTCTTACCTCAGAATTGGCAGAGGTATTTCCAGGTTAATGTGCAGTGTGGTGTGAGTCTGACATTCCTAGGGGAATTACCTGTTAAGTGTACTTCAGTGGTCAAGGACCCAGGAGTTGAGGACTAATGGAAAATGGGGCTTCTTTTTTTGTCTTCACACATATCTGTTAGTGCCTAGGCATGCGACTCGCGTGCAAAATGATGTTTGTGTATATGTGTATGTGCAGGCACGCATGAATGCATTTGAGAAAGCTTTGCAGTTCATTTGATAGGCTCCTAGAGAATTGTGACAGACATCAAATGTTATCTGTTATTCTGTGCATCATTACTTGCCAAACTGACTTCTCTTTCTCCTGTCAACTCACGTCAGGATGAGTTTCTTTAGAGATTTTTCTCATCCTTCCCTTGAACTTTCCCAGTCTTATCAGTATGAAGCAGCTCCAGCATACTGCCCCTGTCGCCTGGGAGGCCCATTGCGCTTTAGTTGCTCACAGACAGCTGGGGTTTGGAGTGTGCAAGGAGTTAGCAGGCCTCAGCTCATTTCCACACCTCAGTACACTATGTACTAGTGTTGTCAAAAATATTCATACTTTGATATGTATCGATACTGAACTATCTTAAACTGTTCCAATACTCCTTTTCTGCAGTATCGATACACCGATACCAGCTATGAGTTCTCGCTCTCTCTTCTCTCCGACAGCGACACACACCCGTCTCCTCTTATTCATCTGTCTCATTTGCTCCGGTTGAATAGTGTTGGTGTTGGCCTGAATTTCAGCATCGGGTTGTGGGTATTGTGCATAATTTTACTCATTCCTGCAGGTGCCAAGCTCACACCAAAAGCACGCACACCACTAATCTATGCAAGTGGCGCTCACATAAAGCCGCCTCTCAAACAGCTTGCGAGTACCAAATTTACTTGTTGCATTTAAATGGTATACAAAATTGTCAAAATGTCTGTCTTGCAGAGTATTCCAGTAAATATAGTCAGTTTTGGAACGTAAATAGTTGAGAGAAAACACATGTGGAGTAACAGTATATTGGATCCGTTCGTACGCTCTTAAAGTGACAGCAGCCAAATAAACCTGGTGGTGTCTGTTAATTAATCAAAGAACAAAAGACAAAGAGAAAATAATTTGCTGATCTTGACTGAATAATTTTTGTAACTATAATTGTAACTGGGTTCCCACGGGTCCTTTAAATCCTTGAAAGTTTGGGAATCTGAAAAAAACCTTGTCAAGGCCCTGGAAAGTTTTTGAAAATAAACATAATAGATACAAGTTCTTGAAAGTGCTTGAATTTATTTTGTGAAAGAAGTTTTCTGGAAAAAATTCCATATTATTCCCTCCGGTCCGATAATGTGTTATTTCGCCAACACTTCATGGCCTATGCATGCTAGCTTGCTTGATTTACGTTAGTTATGCGCATTCACGCGTTACGTTAAAGGAGTAGTTCCCTTTAAAATGAAAATTAGCCCATGATTTACTCGCCCTCAAGCCATCCTAGGTGTATATGACATTCTTCTTTCAGACGAACACAATCGGAGTTATATTAAAAAATGTCCTGGCTCTTTCAAGCTTTATAATGGCAGTGAATTGCAACCATTGCAAACATCAGATTGAAGCTCAAAAAAGTGTATCTATCCATCATAAAAGTGCTCCACACAGCTCCGGGGGGTTAATAAAGACCTTCTGAAGCAAAGTGATGAGTTTGTGTTAGATAAATATTCATATTTAACACGCTACAATGTACAATTCTAGCTTCCGGCCAAGCGAACATAGTCTTCTTACGCCTAAAGCGCAACTAACGCAACTTGTGACGTCGAAGTAGCGTAGTGTGTCATGGCGTGGCGTAAATATCAGCAGTGCGTCGCATTACTCAAAGAAGTTGCGCTTAAGACTTAAGTCGAACCCTTATGTTCGTTTGGCCGGAAGCTTATTTATCTTACTTTATAAAGTTTTACATTTTAATTTTAGAATACAGTATAGGATGTACCAAATATTCTTCAGTTTTATGCAAAGCAGAAATACGACAAAGGACAAATAAACAAATAGAATATCAGATCTCTGTCATATGGCCAAAAATAAATGCAAAAGAAAAAGCTCTTTTGCATAGTTGTTTGACACATAAAAACTGTAATAATGTATCTTACAATGTAACCTTGCTCTCACTTGAAATGTGTCCCCACGGGTCCAATTTGATGGTATTGGACCTGGAAAGTCCTTGAAAGGTCCTTGAATTTGAAGTTAACCATTAATCTGTATTACATTTTTACAATGAAGACTATCCACTGTTATTTTACATGAATTACTAAAATTTCCACAGTTATCAAAAAAAATATGAGATGATAACAAATAATCTGTATGGCGCTATATATGGCAGTTTCCCCAGTGGTATCGAAAATGGTATCAAATATCGATATTTTTTTCAAGGTATCGTATCGAAGTTGGAAATTCTGTAAATGTAAAATTTGGAAATGTACTCTGCCTGCAGTGACAGCACACTGAACGTGCACATGCACACACATGACACTTTTGATTATGTGTCGTACATGTCTACATGGGAACAGTAGAGGAGGCAGTGGCAGATCTCCTCTGCTACCTGGGAACAAGTGAGAGGGCTTATTTTTGGCTGCCTGTCAAGACACTGGGATGCAAACCGGGGTCCTTCTTAGGATACGGCAGGGTCCCTGTCTATTTCACTGGCATTTAGAGAATGAATGTATTTGACATGTACGAAATGCTCATTATAAAAACCAAACAACAACATTTTTAAATCATAAGGCTTTTTCTCGTTTGGTCACCAACACATGCACAAGACATTGAATGGTAAACGCTGGAAAAAGTGTTTACCGGTATATGCAGAGCAAAATTGGAAAATGGGCAAAGACCTGTGTGAGCTGATCTGGTTTTTGACCTGTATCATATAAAAGAACACTAGATTTTAACCTTACACATCACCGGGTTATTAATAGGAACGAGTCACTGGTTTGACTCTAAACAACGATAAAATTCCCGACATTTAGCATGACAGTTTTTATATTTTAATTATATTTGAATGTGTGCCAGTGTGTGTATCAATACTTTTTGTATATTTCCAGCACATTTTAACAATACCATGATAATATTGATAACCGTGATAATTTTGGTCACTATAATTGTGAATTGAAATTTTCATACCATTTCATCTCTAGTTATTAAGCCTTATCTGTACAAGATTTTTTCTCTTTTTTTTTGTGAGAGTGATGAACGTGTATGGTTTTAGGATCTGTGCTCAAACCATTGTCTGTTTTAGGTTACTTGTTCCTTTGTTAGATAATCAGATCATAGTAATCCCATTTCTCTTTAAAGCTGAATTTGAATGTCTTCAATCCTTAATCTCTCTTTTCTTCCATGGTTCCCAATGCACCCCCAGGACTCAAGTGTTTACTTTCCTCCTTGGCCTTTAACACAGCCTGCTCTGTCAGATCACTAGTCTTGAGTAGATCAGCTTCTATTTGCTCAGAAGTGGTGGCAATTTTTTATAGTAGAGAGAGACATCAAGACATCAAGACATCAGGGAATTTCAGGGTACTTGGCAGTCTGTGGTTAGAGAGTAGGAATGGGAATTTAAAGGAGAAGTCTGTGATTTCTGCACTAGTCGTGTCACCAACAGTTTGGCAAATCATTTTTGTCCCATTTGGCTTTTAAAGGTGCGGTAAGTGATTTTTGAATAATGCTGTTGAATGTGGATCGTACCAAGCACCACAACAAGCTTGTAGCCAATAAGCAGAAGGGGGCATGTCCACTCATGATGGGAGAGTAGAGAGAGTGAGCCAATCAGCAGAAGGGGGCGTGTCCACTCAGGATGGGGAAGGAGAGTGAGCTGAGCAAGAGGGAGATTTGAAGAAAAGAGAGATGGCTGAGAGAGAGACATTACAAAAGAGAAAAGCTCAGAGGAATATCACTGTAAAAAGGAGGGGATATGATCAGGCAATGATTTAAAATATCAACAGTGTTCAACAACGATTTTGAAAAATCACATACTGTACCTTTAAAGCAATACATTTTCTGTCTTTGTGACCGATTCATTCGAAAGAACCATTCAAAATGTGTCTTTCTGCTCACGGAATCCAAGTACATTGCAATAAAAAGGCATGTCCTCTGTTTATCGTCAAATCAATGATCTGTATAGACTCAAATGAATCAATAGTTTTTTTTTCAGATTCTCACTTCCTTACTTTTTTGCCTCTTTCTATTCCTCTCAGGACTGGGAAAAACGAAAAGGAAGACCAGTGCTCGTGATCCATCTCCCACACCCAGCACAGAGGCAGAATACCCATCCAATGGCAGCACAGGAGGGGGTGGAGGGGGCGGGGCCGAGCGGATCTATGACCTGAACATTCCCGCACTGGTGAAGTTCTCTTACGCAGCTGAGCGTGAAGATGAACTCAACCTTGTTAAAGGGGATAGGGTGGTGGTCATGGAGAAGTGCAGTGACGGCTGGTGGAGGGGTAGCTATGCCGGCCGTGTTGGTTGGTTTCCATCCAACTATGTCCAAGAGGAGGTGGGATACGCAGACAATGATGGGGTCTTTGGGGACACTTTGGGGGGCTTCCGGTCTTTGAAGGTTGGGCAAGGTGCGGCGATGGCCAACGGCCGGCCAGGAGGCTCCGGGAGCTCTGTTCTGCATGTGGTCCAAACTCTGTACCCCTTCAGCTCCGTTACGGAGGAGGAACTGAACTTTGAAAAGGGCGAGACTATGGAGGTTATGGAAAAGCCAGAGAATGACCCAGAGTGGTGGAGGTGTAAAAACAGCCGCGGCGTTGTCGGCCTTGTGCCCAAGAACTATGTGGTAGTGCTCAATGATGGGCCAGTAACGAAGGGCTTAGGGTCAAATCACGGCTCGCCTCACATCAGTCACACGGTGCCCTCACGCACAGGCAAATTTGCTGGAAAGGATTGGTATTATGGTAACGTGACACGGCATCAAGCAGAGTGTGCGCTTAATGAGAGAGGAGGGGAAGGGGACTTTCTGATACGGGACAGTGAGTCATCGGTAAGTTAAACTGATTTTAAACAGTTCGCTTATATCTATATGCCAAACTACCTGTTGCAAACAACCTTTCATGTAGGAATGCAGTCTTATTTAGGTATGTAATTTATGGGAAGCCAAAATGGGGGAAAAAAAACGTCACTAGCCAAGTGAACCACACAGTGTTAACCAATTATTTGTGCGACCCCCAGGATAGTGGATCTGTTTACTTGCACAACCCACTGACTGTTCTGTGTGACGACATATCTATTTGGACAGTGCTGAATAAACCATGAAACTTGCACAACTTATTTGAATTCCTTTGAGACTTTGACTTCCCATAGTCAAATTGTGTAGGGGTGGACAGTATGACCAAAATCTTACACCTAACCTCCAATCGCTCCCCGGGCGGGCGCCACAGTAATTGGCTGCCAACTGCTCCAGGTGTGTGTCCAGGACTGTGTGTGTGTGTGTGTGTGTGTGTGTGTGTGTGTGTTCACTACTCAACGCTCCTAATGTGTGCACTAACTTGGATTGGTTAAATGCAGAGGACAAATTCCGAGATTGGATTACCATACTTGGCCTTCTGTCATGTCATAATACAAAAAGTATACTGTACACACCTGTGGCCACATGTCATTTGAATTCTATAGTAATGCACCAAGTTGCGAATCTTGGCAACCATAAGTCTACACCAGATGTGAGTGGATTGTAGCAACAAAAAAAAAAAAAAAAAAAAACAGTTATAATTAACAAAGCTGTCTGACCGGTCCTTTACTGAGACAGATTTTTAATATATGCCATAATTTTCTGCATGTGACAGTTTTAAAATCATGCCATGATATACAGTATAGCAAAATCTCCGTTTGGTTGCTTTATGCTCTTAAAAAATTGTTCATAAATTATTATTGTGCATGTAATTTGTCATTTGGAACAGTTATTAAAAAGAAAGATAAAAAATTGCATTTCACATAAAAAAGCCATCAGCTTTTCAGTGATCAGTGATTTAGGAATGAAAGAACTTAGAAATCACAAAGAATAATTAAAGATGTTTTTATTATTATTGATTATTTCATTAAAGAAATCCTGGAACAAATTCTGTTATTATATAATAGTTCTGGCTGTTATGTGGCCTTATTTAAATCAATGCTGCCATCTGGTGTTAGGCATGGAGAAGCAGCAGCAACAACGTCCCATTAATTTCTCTCTCCGTATCTCTGCCTGTTGTTTTCCAGCCCAGTGATTTCTCCATTTCTCTGAAGGCTGTGGGGAAGAACAAGCACTTCAAGGTGCAGCTTCAGGATGGAGTGTACTGCATCGGCCAGCGGCGTTTTAGCAGTATGGAAGAGCTTGTAGAGCACTACAAGAAAGCGCCCATCTTCACCAGTGAGCAAGGAGACAAACTCTACCTTGTCAAGCCCCTTGCCTGAATCTGGCACTGTTTTAACGGACGTTACCTCTTCCCCCGTGCACCTCTGTTTCCTTCTTCTCTATCTTTTCTTTTCTCTTCCTGCACACTCCTCTGACTTTACTGAACCCTTGACTGAGGGGATGAAGATATGCTCCTTTCCCAACCAACTTCAAGGACTTCTAACTCTACATCGCCTCCACGCTAGTAGGGAGCAGTAGCAACTTTATCCTTCTTTTAAAAAGAGATGTCCATCCTTGATACATGCGTCCTGTTTAGTTTTTTTTTAAAGTGATTTACAGCCACCTTGGAGATTTTAGTAAAGACAGACAAAATGCCATCCTCACTAAGCAACATCTGTAGAACTCTCTTTGGACAGCTGTTCTTTTGCTCTTCCTTGTTGCTGGTAGAATCCACAACCTCAACCCACATTATATTGGTTTACATTTCTCTGCCTGAAAGAGCATTACAGTACGTACAATTGTAGCTCTTGTACTGAATTATCAGAGGAGAATAGATTCATGTGCATGTCTTAACCTTGATTCCTCAGAGCAGATGGCCATGTGAAGAATGAGGAGTGCGATTTGGTTCATAACTGAAGATTTGTCTCCATTCATAGAGCTCATACAAAGACCACGCAACATTTCCGTGCGTTCACACTGGTTGAATCCAAATCCGATCCAATTGTTGGAATGACAGTCCGATTTCGCCCTGAAATAAAGCGGTGCTGTCCCATCCTCTGAGCCTTTACAGACACTGTTTTTGCATCTACAGTCCGTCCAGCATTCATGAAGGCAGTGTTTGGACTTCTCTGCTCTTACAATGCGAACACACACAGCTTTCCAGGTATTTCTCTTGGGTCCGAGTCACTTCAGGGTTTCTTCAGAATCAGGGTACTTCATAAAGGGAGATAAATGCCGCAGTTACGACATGCGGTAAAAGAGACTGGAATGAAACGGGATTGTAGCTTCTAAGAGAGAGTTAGTCTGAGAGTTTTTGAATGTGTGTCCTTTCAACCAAATGTGCCACCCACTTCCAGTTCTGCTATACTGTTGATGTCTTATCGCACCTCACCAACACGTCTTCTCTGCTCTCAGTAACACATAGTTGATTGTGAACACTAATTCAAGAGTAATAAAACAAAAAATATGGTTTTATTTCTGTACTTTTGTCAATTACTCTGTTTACCAATAAGCGTGTTGGTCAAGGGGTTTTCAGATTTTTTTTAAAAAATCTATTTGTCTGAATGTTATTGAGCAATGTTATTTAATTCCTCTTTCCACTGTATGTACATATATATATTAAAAAAAAAGATATGGTGCATATATGAATCGTTTAGATCCAGCATTATGGTACTGTATTGAGGACAGTGTGGTGAGAATTAAAATACTTTTGTTCAATAAAAGTTTTGCAGAATAACGTAAAAGGACTTCTGCGATGTTGCCTGTGCTTTCTTTCCTCATTTTTCCAGCAATACTGATTTCTGTGGTGCAGAGAATAAATGTATCAGTGCATCACATGCACAACACCTGCTGATAGACATTTAAAAAATATATACATCACATAGTTTAAAAATCTGCATGTGTGCAGTTCACCAGTAGATGTCACTATTAGACAGCTCTAGAGTAAAGCAGAAAAATAAAACAAACAATGTACCTTCCCAGTCTTTTCAGACCGCATGCCCGTTTGTATCCTTTTAGACCCATTTCCTCTATCTTTGACAATAATGTTTAGCCCTTCATTTCTAAGCATAGTATATTACCTAACTGTGATAAACAAATACACCTTATGGAATATTTATTCATTTTTGTGTCAGAAATTTTGAGAGAAATTATTATCAGAATGATTGTAGCTTATGGTATCTACTGACGTACTGCAGGTCCTGTGACGTTTGTTGTAACTGACGTTTGTAGTACATTAAACTTTGATGATATGTGACAGGGGCCACTTGTGCTTTTAGGGGGCATGCATAGTTCACCTAAAAAGGAAAATACTTTCATCATTGACATTTACACTCATGTTATTCAAAACATGACTTCTATTAAGCAAAAGAAGATATTTTGAGAACGGTCTCATTCGTTTTTTGTTTTTTTTTCATCGATGTCAATGGGCACCGAAATGGTTTGGTTACCAACAATCTTCAAAATATCTTATGCTCAACAGAAGAAAGAAACTCACAGGTTTTGGAACAACATGAGGGTGAGTAAATGATGACATTAATTGGGTATCCCTTTATCCTATTTTTCTGAAATCTCTACAGTGAACTAAAATATTTCATTTGTTTTTTTTGACAAGTAATCTTGTAGGCCTATTGGGATAATGAGCAGTGATGACATCACACACTTTTAATATCTAGGTACTTTTCTGCATCTGTAAACTCTACATGCGATATAACAATTCAAATTGATAACAAAAACAAAATCTACTGCATAATCTTTCAGATGGACCTAACACAAATCAACAGAAAATGTATTTATCTGTAGTAATATCATGAATGCTCAATTTATAAAAGCAAAACTAAACCATTTATATTAGGCCTAGCCTACATGTTATTATGTAGCCTATAGGCTATCCAATCTCTGATAGCCTATATAGTCTCTTTGCAAATCTCTGGCATCACATGAATGCACAAAACAAAGAAATATTAGTATAGTGGAGATTGAGAACCATTAGTACAGTGATGATCAGATGGTAATATCTAGCCTGATCGTGGAATTCATGTACCATACATGGTACTCTGATTCATGTTCAAATCCCCATGGTAATGATACCATGGTACATTGTGGTACTTTTATGTTTATGACAACGTGTATAATGTGAAGTGTACATTTGAGTGCAGGTGTGTCTATATTTTTGGAAACACACGGTAATTAAAAAAAATTACAGTGTGAATGTAACCACTGGTGCTTTAGAAGCACGAACAAATATTATTTAGATAGTCAATAGCGCACAGGACTAAACTTAAATTTTAGTCCTGTGAGTCATGAAATTGCGATGATTGATAGTAACCATAGCAACATGAGAACGTGATAAACATAGCAACATTTTGGCGTCTAATAATTGTATGATTTTTTGTTACATTTACACTTTAGTCATAAGTTTACATACACCTTTCAGAATCTCCAAAATGTATTTTTTTTAAATGTATTAATAAGAAAGATCATAAAAACATTGTTTCTATTCAGTACTGCACTGAAAAAGCTTTTTCACATAACATATGTTGGTAACACTTTAGAATACTGTATCTTACTTACTGCATAACTAATAAGGAATTATTGAAGAACTAGTAGGTAATTCTTCATTAACTACTTCTTCACTGCTGTAAACTACTAAGGAAGATGTGTTAACTAATCAGTATGTAATAGAATTTTATGATTGTGTTAAGTTACAGTTAGTTAATCAATAACTAATAAATTCTGGCATACCTCCTGAAGAACTACCATTAATTATCTACTAATTAAGGTTCAAGAAAAATAACTAAGTAGTAACTAATGAACAGTCATACAAAACTAACCTCAGATTAGTTTTTATATTTTATATACAGTACTGTGTGTGTCTGTTTTCCTCAGCATAGAATGCCATTGAGTAAATTCATGTATTTTAGGCAATAACTGAGGGGAACTGAAAATATAGGGAACTTATTAGTAATTAATAAATAATTATTAGATAATTCTCCAGGAATTATTTATAATCTGGAACAGTATTCTAAAGTGAAAATACAGGGAACCCATTAGTAATTAATAAAGAATTACCAAATAACTATCCAGGAATTAGGCTACTTATAACCTGAAACAGTGTTCAAAAGTGAAAATATAGGGAATTTATTAGTAATTAATAAAGAGTTATTAGATAATTCTTCAGGAATGACTTATAACCTGAAACAGTATTCTAAAGTGAAAATATAGGGAACCCATTAGTAATTAATAAAGAATTACCACATACTTCTGACTCAAATAAAACTTACTCACCTTTGTAAAATACACGACAATGACTCGTTTAAGCTACATGATATTTTCCTTTATTTCAGATGATATTTTGTTTTAACATGTATACTGCCTACATTTAAACTTGTTTAACAAACATTTATAATCAAAAGTTAAACCTTTAAAAGTAATTCAAGTAATCAACTGTTCTCGCGTCTCCACGGTAGTGTTGCTGGATCTCTTGCGGGAGCTGGGCTCGTGTTCGGCGGGGAAACTGCTTAACTTCAGACCGCCGCCCTGCGTTTCACTGCCCATAAACAAACAGTGCACAGCTCTAAGAACATATTTAACATCTGATGTAAATAGATTTACTATATTTATGAATAAAATAATTTGTTTAATGCAAGGGATCAGGCGTTTCCATCACGCAAAAAAGACAGACTCAGCTAGGTAAGCTAACTGACATCGCGTCCTTGTATGTTGCCTTGCATAAAATAAAAATGATTTACAGCACAGTAATGATTTTATAGATTAAATAAAACGTACACAAACCTGTATTTCGCAGAAGAAATGCACCAAATCGGCGGCGCTGAGAACTCTCCAGAAGAGGATGCAAATGCCCGCGCTCTTGCATCACCAAATCACTGTAAAATGTAGGCTACCGTGATATTGCCGGAACTTCAATGGTGCAAAATAAGTTTAAAATGTATAAGAACTAAGTATAATAATATGCTTTTTACTTTTTAAGTACTTTAAAAATTAATTACCTTTGTACTTTTACTAAGGTAATTTTGAAAATGGCCTAATTATAATTGTACTGGAGTAATATTTTATTGGGCTATCTTTACTTTTACTCAAGTACTTGATTTGTGTACTTCCACCACTACAATGCTAGAAAAAACTGGATTATTGTAGTGACTACTGTGTATGACTGTTCATTACTAGTTACTTCATAGTTATTTTTCTTGAACCTTAATTAATAGATAATTAATGGTAGTTCTTCAGGAGGTATGACAGAATTCATTAGTTATTGATTAACTAACTGTAACTTAAAACAATCATAAAATTCTATTACATACTAATTAGTTAACACATCTTCCTTAGTAGTTAACAGCAGTGAAGAAGTAGTTAATGAAGAATTACCTACTAGTTCTTCAATAATTCCTTATTAGTTATGCAGTGAGTAAGATACAGTATTCTAAAGTGTTACCCATATGTTTAATAGCCTAGTCCACAAGACAAAATACAAACACAAAATACAAGACAAATTACTTGATTTTAATATTGTGTGTCATTACCTGAATGATCCACAACTGTTTTTTTTTTTTTTTTTTAATGGTTGTTCATGAGGAAAAATCCTCCAGCTCCTGCACATTCTTTGCTTTTCCAGCATCTTCTGCATATTTGACTCCTTACTAGCAGTGACTATGATTGTGAGATCCATCTTTTCGGACTGGTGACAAGTGAGGGACTCATACACAATTATTACAAACCCTGATGTTCAAGAAGGAAGCATCCGTTAAGGATGGAACTGGATTGGTGTAAATTGTTCTTATTTTGTTTAAAAATTCATTAATTAATTTAGTCCTGCCCTTCAGAGGGTAAGATATTAGCATGCAAAACAAAATAAGAAAAATGTAAACATCACCATCATCTTGCTCAAAAGTGTACCCCTGGCTCTTAATGCATCGTGTGTCATTCTTGAGCATTACCTTGCAGATTCTGAAAGATGTACAATAGGTAAACGTATGACTGTGACTATACATTGCAATCATTTTGTAAGGTTTAAAATATTAATTTAATAGCTCAGTGTTGAGACCCTTCGCCGGAATTTGATTGACAGGCGATCTGACCAATCATAATGCAGGCACCCATCATTTTTGTCCGACAACCAATCCAAATCAGTTAGTAGATTTAAGTCAGTAGACTTGAACTTGAAAAATGGTGTGTACTGTGTATTGATTTCTTTTTTGCAGTTCTGATTTTCATTCATGTTTAATTTGTGCTATAACTTATAGCTGTCAACATTTGGTTTTCAAAATCCGGGAGATTGGGGGGGGGGGGGGGGGTTAGGGGGGGTTACGACTGCGCAACTGGGCAACTGGGGTATAGGTTGCCAGGTTGAGATGACAAACGGGTTGAAATTGTATATGATGTGTGGATGGATTGTGTGTAGGGGTGTAACTGTTCAGTACATTTTCGATACAGCAAAAAGAAAGAAATGCCAGAGAAATTTCCTATTTATTAAAAGAAAAAAATATTTTTAAATAAGTTTGAGTTTTCCTACATCTTGAAACGTTCAGGTTTATAAATGGGGGTAATCTTTGAAGGATGAACAAATAATGTTTTGGTCATCACATTAAAAATAACATTTAAATATAGGCCTATATTTATATAGCCTATATCATATTTAGATAATATTTGAGTTTTGAAGTGCTGGGAAAAGATGTGTGAAGTACTTGAAAGCATTTCACTATTCCAGCCAAACTTCCATGGCAGTTAGTGT